TGGAGACCATCGCTTCTAGGTTGGAGGCCATCGCTTCCAGGTTGGAGACCATCGCTAGTAGGTTGGAGACCATCGCTGCTAGGTTGGAGGCCTAGTTTCAAGGAAGAATCGGCCTCATTTCGCATTTCCGAACTTCTCCGGCGCACGGCTGGCCGATGCCAGGCAGCCCACTGTAGGCAATCATGGAGGGTGCTGACCTCTTAATAGCTCGGAGCAAAACAACTTGTTCCTTCGACCAAACAGTTTCATTGGCTTTCCAATTCCATGTTCTGCTCTTCCAAGAGGCAATAAAAGGATGTAGTACATGATATTGCTCTCTTCCACAGTAGGTCACATGTTTCAACCTCCAAATCCTGACCCCTGCCAAGACTCAGTTTCTTCAACTTTCTTCTGCGTAAAGCTTGGCGGGTCCATGTGGTCTTTTGATTTATTTTGCTGAACCTGTGCTAAAGGCCTGATGAGATCTGGCCAATCACCTCATCAACTCTACTCTGGGCCCTCTGGGCTGCAAGCTGCAAAGGATTCTGAAGCATAGGCGAAACCATCATAGAAGGCGCTGACTGCAAGGACCTCAGAGTCTAAACAGAACTCTCTCGCGAGGTTTTTGGATGCTTTTGGTCAGTTGGATGGCTTGGATGTGTTAAGCATCAAACACCAAATGTCAACGACGAGGTTAAGTTCACGTCGTTTCTTTGATGCAAAAACTACAATTCATACAAATTCATCTTGGCTGACGTCTAGCCAGGCTGGTGTTGTGTTTTTGTGGCTCGGTGAACGAACCACGATTATGGATTCACCAAGTTAAGAACAAAAATATATATATATATATAGATGATCAACTTGCATACTCGCACTGAACAAACATCTCCCAAGTTTTATTCAGGAGGTGCTGTTTCTACATGTGGCGTAAGGGGCTGCACCATCTTCGCATGACCCACAACTGGCCCAGAACACGAATGACAGCCGGCCTAACTATAGGCTGTGTCGGGGAGCTCAAAGATAATCGACTAGGAAACATTCAGAACTACTATAGAGTCCTGTGATGAGAAACCTTATTAAACAAGAAACTGGACTCTCATTTGGTGGCAAGTAAATTACTTGAGACTGCGGCTTTGTCAAGAGTGGGCTGACAAGCTAGACGATTTGTCTTAGGTGAACAAGATCACAGCACGCGGTCTTCTATGGGTCACTTTCAGGGTCCTATCTGGAAAGGTGCCTGGCTTCGCCGAAAGGGCCTCCGGGCGTCTGTCCATAGAGATCCTGGCGTCTGTCGAACGGAAGTTGAATCGACTGAGGCATCCAGCGAATCTTGAAGTATCCGCACGTGATGATCTGGACACAGTGTCGCCCCACAAACAGGAGTTAATTAGAAGTTGGCAAACCTTGACAAAAAGAACACAGTTATTCTTATCTATCCTTGCAAATTTGCAAAGACAATCATCAAACGGAGACTGGGTGTAAAGATTCTATCCACCATTGAACCTAAAACTGTATAGTTTCTTGCCCAACCCATCCCATCCCCTGCAACGCTGTCCTGAACTTGCGGCGCCTTGGTGGGTAGGGCAAGTTGATGATCCCCAAATTGACATGCCGCAAACATTTACTGTATTTCTACTACTCGGGTCAACTTGGTCGAATGAGCGAGAGTGAGAGTGCTATCCACTGCCTCATAGTGCCCTTCAAAGGCATAAACTCATTTCAAAAACGCCCGAGGCGGAATCACGATATGCTTGGTCGGTCTGTCTCTTTCATCCCTCAATCCATCCTCCTCATCCTCCTCCTCCTCATCGTCATCATCATAATTCATACTATACAGTCGCCATTGTTGACTCCACACAGTGGCCCAAACAACCATCTTTGTAAAGCCAGCAGAAACCTATGACCATGACTGCAGTTGAAGAATTTCCAACGAATAGCATTAAGTTGGAGGCCATCAATCTTAGGTTGGAGGCCATCGCTATTACGTTGGAGGCATTAGGTTGGAGGCCATCGCTATTACCTTGGAGGCCTTTGCTATTAATACTATTAGGTGGAGGCCATCGCTACTATAGGTGGACAAGGCCATCGCTATTAGGTGGCGATCGCTATCAGATGGAGACCATTAGGTGGAGGCCATCGCTATTGGGTGGAAGCCATCGCTATTGGGTGGAGGCCATCGCTATTTGGTGGACGCCATTGCTATTGGGTGGAGGCCATCGCTATTACGTGGAGGCCATCGCTATTACGTTGGAGGCCATCGCTATTAGGTGGAGGCCATCGCTATTACGTGGAGGCCGTCGCTATTACATTGGAGGCCATTGCTATTAGGTGGAGGCCATCGCTATTAAGTGGAGGCCGTCGCTATTAGGTTGGAGGCCATTGCTATTAGGTTGAGGCCATCGCTATTAGGTGGAGGCCAGTGCTATTAGGTGGAGGCCATCCTATTAGGTGGAGGCCATCGCATTAGATGGAGGCCATCGCTATTAGGTGGAGAAGGCCATCGCTATTAGGTGGAGGCCATAGCTGCCATAGCTATTAGGTGGAGGCCATGGCTATTTGGCGGAGGACTAGGCTATTAGGTGGAGGCCATAGCTACTAGGTGGAGGCCATCGCTATTAGGTGGAGGCCATCGCTCTTAGGTTCCTTTTGCTGTTAGGTTCCTTATCTATCATGTCAATCATGTCCAACTGCCCCACTGGCCCCGAATTGGGCCAACCAGCCGTGAAGGAGGTGCTCCCCGCGAAGCCTTCCGCGGAGGGAACACCTTGGTGCGGCCATGTCCCAAAACCCATGTCCCAAGAGATATCAGTTGATGGAACAAGCTACATGTGATCCTTATGACTTCGTTTTGCATGCATGCTGCATGCTACTGGATCGACAACTTCTGGATCGACAAACTCATTGGTCGATACTTGGGACTTCAACTCCTTCGTGGAAGACTTTGATCTTCGCCAAGCGGTCTTGAGGTGCTTCCTTTTACCAAGCGGTCTTGGGCAAGCTGCATTATTGGCTCCTTTCAATTGTGTTATTGGTGCCCAAGTTCTTTCAGCTATATCCAAATGGCCATGGCTCAAACATGTGATCAATTTCTGGAATAAGAGTCTTTCATTTTGTGCCAAAATGAGCCCTCTCATGCGATGCCCCATCCTCGCATCATCATGTATGTTTGGATGGTTCCCAATCAAATCCACCTGAACACCGCCAGTTTGCTGTAGGACGCGCCCGTCACGGGCGCCGCAGAGGCATAAGCAGGGTATGAGGCGCCTGGACGATTCACGAAATGATACTTCTTCATGACATAAACGTCTCTTAACCCAGAAGGTTTGTGAGAAGGTCACAGCCCGATTCCTCGCCAAACATGTGCGCATCTATTTATAAACAAAAAGAATAAAGTACAAGCAGGTTTCATTCCAGCGTCTAGAATCTAGATCTAGTTGAAGGACATAGAAGATCATAGAAGAAGTCGTTGGAGAAGAAGTCGGCCAAACCCTTTAAATTGGTCAAGACGCCACGTGCCTGCATAGGTGTTTGCTGGAGGCACTGTGAAGCTGCCAGTGCCTTGGGATGAATGTCTCCTCCCAGAGTTCCTGTCTCAACCCCACACCTTATTTGGGATTCGCATGTTGGCGCTATGTACCTGTCACGGTGACACCCCTACATCACTATGCAGTTGCGGAGTTGCTGCCCAAGGCACCATACGTGGTAGCCGGATAAGTAGCCGGATAAGTAGTAGCAGGAGCAGCACTGTAGCTGCCGCCGGTGCTGGTGCCGCCAGTGTAAGCACCGACCGCAGCTCCACCGGAGAGAGTTCCTGCCGTATAGGCACCACCAGCTAGTGTCCCAGCGCCAGTGTAAGCGCCACCAGCTAAGGTGCCTGTCGTGTAAGCTCCACCGGTCGTGTAAGCTCCACCAGTGTAAGCACCCCCCAGGGTGCCACCAGTATAAGCAGCACCCGCAGTGGTGCCACCGGTATACGTTCCACCAGCTAAGGTGCCACCGGTGTAGGAGCCCCCAGCAAGGGTTCCAGTGCCAGCACCATATACTCCACCAGCTAGGGTGCCGCCGGCTAGGGACGTGCTGGTGCCACCTGCATAAGTACCACCGGCTAGTGTGCCTCCGGTGTAGGCACCGCCAGCAAGTGTGCCGGTGCCAGCAGCATAGGTGCCAGCAGCATATGTACCTGTCAATCACAGAACTGGTGACTCATGCCTTCTCAAACAACTGGTACGACCGGCAACCGGCACCCCATATCTAACACTCCGCTGCACAGTCGAAGCCTGTCCAAGATCTTCAATTGCCAAAAGCAAATACATCCCACAGGCCAGGCCTGGGCTGCTGGTGGTATACGTGCTTGGACTGGTGTAGTACGAGGCCTGAGGTGCAGCGTCGTGGGACCAGTTGGTCAGCCAGTCGAGGGCTTGGCAAGCAAAGATTGAGCAAGAACCAACACAAGAACCGAGTAGTTTCGCCGGTGAATCATCGAGTCCAAAATCAAACAAGTGTGGCACACGCGCGCAGCAAAGAGCCTCTGCACCAATGGCCGATGGACTCATGGTCGACACCTCTCTGGGTAGGCTGGGATCTTTGCTAACATTTGCCAACATGTCAGGAGTCAAGGATCTTTGTATGCGCGATGCTTCATTGATTTGTTTTCTCCAACAGGAGAAATAATCCTCCAACTTCCACCGAGTGTTAAAACAAATCAGTGGGGACAGTTTCCCAAATGGGAAACCCACAAGGAAAGGATTAAACCACAATTGAAGGATTCCTTAGTTGGTAGCAGGGACTGGGGTGGTTTAATTTACGGCTGGTTAAGACTTGCAGTTTCCTGGTCTACAAGGTGCACCCTAGGCGCACAAATCCTTGTCAATTCTGAACAAGGGACGTTGTAAAGAGGTTAATCGCTTCAATGCCATAAAATAAATCAAGAAAAACCAAAGAAACGAAGGAATGCTTATGTTTCAGGAAACAGTCGTTGGTTATCTTTAGTATATCCTGTACTCTGTCAGTCATAGTAGATGTTGGTATGTTTTGAATGTCTTTGGAATTACTCTGGATTTTTTCGAACTGAACAAACCTATTTACAATGAGGTGGTTCGCATCATGCTCGCTGCATCTCAAATCATTCAGTTCTCCACCTTTTTGCAAGACAATTTCATGTTCGTTCTACAGGTCAGCCAAACCTAAGGACCTCGGTTGTGAGATTTGATCTATTCTTTTGCCAATGGGAGCGTTGTTATTTGGGCTGCATCACAGAAAACAATGCTGATTGCCTATTTATCTTTCAATCACCTGTCCTTATGTTAAGCGCCGGTGAGCATCTTCATATCTTCCTATCAAATTTATGTAGCAGCCTTCTGCCATGCACTTTGCCCCCTCAAACCCTGCCTGTCCAGCATAGGGAGCATACATGTCAACGACAGTGCGGTCGGACCTGCACGACCTGACGCGCCGACCCGACGATGGTCTCAGCGGGACACACGTCCCAGCACTAGGAGCCTCTACTTAAGTGGGGGACTAGTGCATCACTCCGAATATCTCTACGTTCAATCTCTCAAGCACTCGCCTTCCAGACTTGTAGATTTTACTGCAATCTATGACAGTGACGGTGACCAAGAACTTTTGATATGAAAGTGGATACTCCCATGCCGGGTCATATGGCTCTATTTGGGGAGGCAGTTCTGCTCATGACTCTTCGTGCGATGTCCAGGTTCGCTCCGCGCCTCGCGCCGGGATCCGCTCGAAGCCGCCAACCAGACGGCGAGCCCAACTGCTGATGATTTCACGGTTTCACGACGTTTCACTCCACGATTCTGCTGGGTCAATCCTTTGTGTGGAAACAGCTATGAACAAGATTGAACAAGTATGTATGAAGAACTTGAGTTTCAACCTTGCCTGCCACCCAAACTGAATCCCAAGTCTCACATCCTCCTGCTGCTCCACCATGCACTGTTCACTTCGATGAATTTGGATCATCTTCGCAAACCTGTCCTGGAACAAGAATTCAGTCCACTGCCGCCAACTCTTTGGAAGGTGCATTCCCTGTGGTATCGTTCACAGTCCCCTGTCTATCGGATGTCCACGCGAGCGCGGTGCCGTGCTCTTCTCCTTGACGAGTCGACCGGGTATTGGAGACTGGATCCGCTAGCTGAAGGAATATCATCCTACAAATGGAGAGGACCAATATCTCTGCTGATCAGCTAGCTGTCCTCATTTCCAAACAACAAACCTGGCGGCACTTTTCCTGTGGCTCCTGAACCATCTGATCAGGTGAAACAAATCTCATCCAACTGGCAACAGCCAGGGAATCCACTCTGGCAACCTACGCGAAAGCCAAAACCAGAAAACCTGCTGTTTAACTCCTAAATGCATCTAAATGCTACACTGTGAACCTATAATATAGTATACTGTACTATAAATTACAAGGCATGACAGTCTGAGGAATCTACAGTCAGTCGCCCGAAACCAGCGGTGAAGAAACTCAAATATATTCAATTATCACATCCATTCATATCCTATCAACAGCCATGCTCAATTGAAGGAACAAATGTCAATAATTGTACTGGTTCAGCTCATGTAGAATGAACATGATTGGTTGACGTTGCTGTTTTCGCTGTCTTGACCTGCAAGTTCCACTAGCTTACGTTGGCATGCATTGAAGTCTGTTTTTGGAAGTCTCCTCCAGTGACTACTGCGGTCAGCCAATCTACGCATTGCTGGCATCACTTCGTGAGCCAACAGGGCCTTACAGTATGCAAGTGCGCAGGAATCTAAAAAGTGACCCGACAAAAATCCAAACGTTGATCGGCCAACCAGCCAACACAAAGCACCCAACCATGGGACCATTATGATAATGCACAGGAGCATGTGTGAATCCCCCCTGGCCCTAGGGTGAGGCGCACATACCTCTACTCTACAAAAAGTCAGCAATATAATCTAATAATCTATATATTACATTAATATAGAACAACATCTCTAGGAACAACATATAGTGTCAAAATGTGTGAAATGACACTTTGCTTGAAGACAAGAGTTTCCACATTGGCTTTCTGAGCCTCTCCTTCAGGGCTTTGCTTCTTGTCGAGTATCATCATCTCTTCCAAACCATTCCAACCTGCCTCTCTTCGATCATCCAACGTTTTGCCCTGATCTGGAAGCCGTGCTGGGCTGCCCGGGCGCCCAGGCCATCCGTTGCGGCGTTGTGCGGCTCATCCCAACTGCACGGTCTGGCAACGGCGGCAACGGCCGCGCACCCGCGTCATGTCATGGAAGCTGTGTAGAACATGATAGAACCATGGCTGGATGCCTGTCCATTCATTCGTGTAATTACATGACAATGGTTACTATGTGTATGCATAATAATACAAGTATACAGTATATAATATATATACATAATATGTGCGCAGGTTCCACTTCATGCTCGGACACTTGACACTTACAGAACCTTAGCCAAGCACTGGCTTAGTCGAGAGGAATGACATCAAGCACCTATGAAAACCACAAGATCTGGAGAGCGCTTTTCTGTTGCGGAAAAGGATGATTACAGTAATTGTAATCTTTTAACATTCTAACAATCAACTTCCAAGTTCAAACACACCCGCCACAATCTAGACCCAGCAGTGGCTGGCCTGCACATGTGGTGGGGGATGCAAACGATCAGCCACTCCTGGCAGGTCCAATGAAAAAAAGCAGCTCGATGGCAACTACACAGCTGCAGGTGATAAGCCCAGCAAAGGCCCACTTTGGGAATTGGATACATAGTCAGTTCCTGTGTGGACTAGCAAGAACAAACTCAGGAATCCTGAGCATGGGCTAAACAGAAATCCTTGTAGATTCTGGGTCTTTCTGCTTTCGGCAAAGCGGCTCACCCCACAAAATTTTTCAAAGCAGGGACCTTGAGACACGAGATACACTAATGTTTGAATCAGGAGAGGATATTGCATACAGCAGCTGTTGGACAGTTGGACAACAGCTTATCATGAGAGGGGCCCTGTGGCCACCAGTCCGACACACTCTCTCACACAGTAACAAGTTGAAGTACCTAGGTCAAAGTAAGTGTGGCTAGGTCAAGATCTTGACAAACACCAAAACCGCACACGAGTAAACTCCAGAGAGAGAGAGAGGGAGAACCATGGAATAAACATCACGAGTCATGAGTGGATTGACCAGGACTGCAAGCACATGCGAAGATCTAAAGTCTACATCGAGTGAACGCAGGCAGTCTTAGACACCCAAATCTAGAAGGCCAAATCAATCATGTTCATCTGGTCATGCCGCATGCCCAGTGCCACAAAACCAAAAAACATAGGATCATTGAGGGCTGTAAGTTGGCAAATGGTCTTTTGCACAACCCTGTGGTTTTGAGACGAGATCCACCTGTTCACCCAGGTTTGAAATAGACAGCTCCTGTCAAGTGATGCAGTCAACAGGACAGCCCCAGCCTTGGTGAATGAATGTGAATGACATGCTACCCGGCCACCCAAACATCCACAACTGTTCCTTGCCTCGCATGATCTCCACGAGCAGTGACCTGTCCAACTGCTCAAGGGCTGGCTGCTGGCCTCGAAATCTGCAAGCGGCGTGCGACATGCGAAGATAACACATTCTGTAGAGCTGGTGGAGGTCCCAAGAGTTTGCTCCAGCAGTGGAACATGTGAAACTGTGCCGAAATAAATGCAACAATCATGGTTCGACTGGCGACTTTTGTTGGCAAACTAGTGGGCCATGACTTTTGCCGAAATCTTGAGACTGCGTAGCTAATGTGGCATGGAGGGCTAACATAGGTCACGTCAAAGTGCCAACAAAAAAACTGCTCAAATTGAAAGATCGAATCAACACCTGCAACATCCAGTGAATTTGGTCTGTTCCGGCTTTGCAACATGCGAGTTGGAGCCTCCTTCACCTGAGGGGACACCAGTTAAGGGAATGGCTGCTTCTTTCAGGAGACGTCCGCCTCATCCTGTGGTCCAAACTAATTCCCACTCCGCTGAAATGACCGAGGCCAGCGACAGACCGTGTGGAAGTTGGAGATGATGAAATCCAGCGCCATGGCCCGAACGGCCTGGCAAAAGGAGTGCCGCGGGGGAGGCGGTGGCAAGGGCAGTGTGAAATCTGGTGTCCTGAAATGATGGAAGGTTGTTAGATGTTTTGAGCATTCTTCTGCTCTGGAATCATATACATAGTTTAGTGTTCAGGTTCTCTCTTTTTCTTATTTAAGATCAAGTCAATCTTCATTCAAGATCCCTAATAAATCAAGAAACCGGCCAATGTTATTGGGTGCTGGGTCTCCCGTCTCCCTCAAAGATAAAGCCGCCAGGGCTTGATTCAAATAGTTAGTGTATGTTGCTCTAGCGTTCAACATGTTGTTTGATTTGTGGTTTCGGAGCTGTCATGGAAGTTGAATATTAAGATGGGTCTATTCAACAGTTGAATGGCACAAAACTTTGGGGGTATCACCAAGTGGTCCCTCTGCTCGTGGTGAGCCGATCAGCCGATCATACAATCTACGGACCAGAATGGTGCAGCCCAAAACGAGTCGATCAGCTTGATCGCAATCAGCAAATCTGGGGAACTCGGACTTCATTATGCAAAATGAACATGCAAATCAACTTTGAGCACTCGAAACACGTATATAAAAATAATAACAATGAGTACGGTCACCAGAATCGTATACATGGTTGAGATGCACAACTATATTGTTCAAGATACAATATCATATAGAATGCAGTATCAGTATTACAGTCATAAAGCAAACCTCGATCAGCCACACCTCCAATGCAACTTGGACCTGTTAATTCAATCCGCTGCTGACCAACATAGTTTACAGATGTTTACTTACAGTAGTTTTAAGACGAAGGATGAAGAACACACTTTCTTCCAGCTGAAGTACACTGGAGCTTGTATGACGGTATTTCACGTGGCTACGTGAATTTGCCGCTATGTCCCACTATGACGCACTCTTCACCCTACAATGGTCACTAGTCCCAGCTTCCAAGTCGTGGACCGCGCCTGGGTCCCTTCCACATCCAGCCGGCTAGAAGCTTCGAAGAGTTGCAATACGTGCGTCTGAGCGCAAGCGAGCGCTTGCACAATGTGGGGCATCATGTATAGCAACCAATCCTGATCTTTGTCATCTAAAAGCGTTTGGATCGTGTTTGTCTTGGAGCGCAGAATCCTGTAATCTGCGGTCCATGAGAAGAGTCGGGGTGAAAGCTGGCCCCTGTCCTGTTCCCTCTTACCTATCCTCATCCTGCCTTTCTCGTTCATGCCGGACTGTCCGATGCCAAGGAGATGAATGGTTCTGACCCCACACCTCCCTAGTCCTGTCTCCAACCGCCCTTTTTCTGTTCTACGCCACTGGGAGTCCGAGCAAAACTCTACGGAGTGAGAACTGGTAGCTATGTTAGTGAAAACTAGCTTCTGCAGTTTCTATCCGTACAACCAGTTTCTTTCAGAGGCCAGTCAAAGGCCAGCTTTTTCGCATCTTTCTTTGCGCCTTCTGCAAGTTGATTGGCTAGCAAAGGCTAGCGGCTAGCGTATCTACCAAATTGTGCTTTCTCGCTTTTCTTGCCGCCCTACAAACGAGGCTCCAAACTAGTAGGGAGTTCATTTAAGGACTCTGCACTCCCTAGGCCGTTTCCCTGCGAGCAGCCTCGTTGAAGGAGTCCTTGATGCAGAACTCGCAGAAATGCTTCAGGCCTCGAATTGACGAACAGGCCACTGTCGTTCTGTTGATGCAAATTGTACGACAAGAGCTTGACACAAAGCCGCAGTGCAGCTGCAGCTCATCTTCTGATTTCTCTCTGTTTCTTGGAGAATTGGTCACATGTGTCCACCTCTTTGACCCATAGAAAAACGCCATGTAGCCCCAAAGGCTCGGGCGAAGGTTCGTGAGGCCATAAAAGGATGAAGCATCAACCTGCATGCTCCGAACTGCGAGAATCAGCCGGGTATTACTATATATATATATATGTGGCAACACCAACAGTGGATGACAGGCAAGCATTATTCCCTCTGTCTATCAGCCTGTCAGCTTCTATCTACTTAAGACTTTTTTGAGTATGAATCCAGATCTGGGTTCAAAGCAGATTGGAACTGCCCTGGCCCCTCTCAAAAGTCCCCAAACAATCCCTCACAGGCTGCAGTTTGTTGGGATTTCAACTACCATTGCATTGTGGTGAGGCTCAAGACTACCATTGCGGACGTGACTCTCAAAGTGAGCGATTATGATGATTGTGGCTACCAAAAAGAATCTAGAGTCTAGCCGTTTTGGACTCCATCCGTGGGCTTCCATTGCTTCCTCTGGCCATGTGCTGGGTCTCCGGCCAAATACATCGCAGTATGCGGGGCCAGAATGCCTGGGGCAATTGTATTTGGTATTCCTTAACGATCTATCGTGTTTTTTTTTTGCAAGTTGTGTTGCTGTGAATCTACTGTGAATCCAAAATGATCATGAAAGGCAACCCTCGTCAATCTATTGACCGAACCACTACTCTATATATATATATATACATACATGCACACTGTAGCAATCGGTACCATATATATATATATATTTGCACATGACATTTGAAAAGAAGCACAAAGCAATGCAACAAGAGGTCGTCTGGTCAGTGGACATTCAGTCGAAATGGACCCTGCCCGGTTTGCCCTGAGACGAAGGGGCCTGCGAGTACGATCCTTTGCTACCTTTGCTCCGACTTCTTGAACACAGTTTAGCTACTAACCATGTCTAATTGCAAGCGGGTCTTTTCCAGAATGCATGTGGGTCTTTGGGGTCTTGATGCCAATAGCCGGGAAAGCTCAAACTTGGATCAACCTTTGACCATGGGCTGGCGGTACTCTTCATCCTCGTGCAGCGAGAGCTCTGAGAATGATGTGGAGGACAGCTTTTTTTTCTGGGAACTGGTGAAGGGTTCTAATTGGATTAGTCTTGTCAGGATATGCTCGAGGATCATCAAAAGGAGTACTTAGAGATTGGGCCTGTCTTTGCTAGGCTTGCCGGTTCTTTGGCTGCATGCCTTCAGGCAGGCATTTGGAACATGTTTGGTTTGATGGTTCTTTGTTCCCTGAGGTTTGCTGATGTGGTTGCAAACCTGGAGCGGGGAATTTTCGTTTGCAAGTGATTGCACCATGCCAGCAATTCAAAAGCCTCATACAACATGTTGTAGGTATGTTGTAGGTACACTTCTTTGCTTGGGCTCCTGTCACCAGGCTCTGGGGCAGACACTCCTTGGATGGCACTGCAAATGCTTTTCTCTGCATGTGGAATGGAGGGCTGCTTGCGGTACAGGTTGTTGCCCTAGCCCATGTGCTGATGTGTTGGGGGTGGTGGGAACCGCTATGGTCCGCTGCTTCCAAGGAGGGCCTCTGAGATTAACAACGGCCGGCGGGACTTCTTGAAGGCAAACTTCCCAGAGTGTGAGATGCTCCTTGCCACATCTTTATAGTGTGTTGCAGTGTTTTGCTACCGGTATGCGTGTGTGCCTTCAACATTCTGCTATAAGGTGTGGGCGGGACATATTCAAGCAAAGGGTCTCCCATCTATTGAACAAGGCCGTCGGTGATCTTGCTGAGTGTGATGTTCATGGCAGTCTGTGAAACCAGTGAATGTGCCTGGAGATGTTTTACCCTGTGCCAGTTGTGCCTGTACATCGTCGGCTTCCCATGTACTCCTTTCTCGACTTTGCACACAGCGTCGCAACTTCTTCGTGACATCAATGCACGACAATTATTCCAGACCATCAAACATATCCGAAATTGTCGACCTTTTGTTTTTTGACTGCAGCTATCCCACAACGATCCACATGATTCAGAAGACTTATCTGCCCTAAGATTACCATCTTGGAGAACGTGATGGGATTCAAGCGCTGCTTGGATACTATTCTGGCGCTAATCCATCGGAATGTCCCTGGGTAGCTTACCTGCACTTAAGTTTCGAAGTTTGAGCTGCCACTTTATTTATTTTGGATCGCAACCACTCTCCCAGGTACAAAGACTTCTGCATGGTCCTGAACCCAACATCATATGGGGCTCCCTGTAGCCGGCGAAGGCTATACATCCTCTTGATTAGGGAGGACATGCTTCACGAAAACTCAACACATGAGTATGCCGAGCGCCTTCTTGGACAAATGAAGCAACCACCAAAGCATAAATGGTCACTTGGGATGAGAGTTAGTGTTGAAAGCGCTTTCCTTGCTTGCACTAGCTTCCCCTTCGAAAGTGCCTTCACAAACAGGTTTAAAGTTTGAAGTGAGGTCGTCGTTGCTACTTCCAGATCACCATCCAAGTGTTCAAGCTGACCGTGCCCGCCGTATTGCTCGTCAACAACAGAATGCAAAGAGGACCTTCAGCCCAAGGTAGTTCACATGACTTACAATAGAACAGTGCCTCTCCATGTCATCAGTGAAAACAAACCTGCTTAAGGAAGGTCAATCGCGGCTCCAAGTGGATCAAGATTCACAAAGACTGGGCGAAGGAAAAGAAGGCCACATCTTCAATCAATTATTATATATCAGACTTGAAGCCAACCTGTTGTATTTTGTATCCCCAACCCCCTTCAGACTCTGTTAGGTGAACATTGCTCACTCCAAGGGGCTTTTCTATGAAAGCCACCCTGAAGCAGCTGAAACGATTTCCACTGCCCGCGAGGTTCAGGCTTGTCTTTTTTGCGGACAAGCATTCAAGCGTTCAGATTCAGTGAAAATAGTGAAACATTATGAATCATTGACTCAAACTTTACAATTGGGTTAAAAGTGAAGCTGGCACTTCCTTCCAGGTGATGAATTTGCTGACTTTGTGGATGGGGTCTCCCCCAGCTTGCTCCAACACTTCGCAGAATCTTGGGCATTTGCCCATCACCAGGACCACGGATCAACCGCTTATGTGCCTCACGCTTCACCCTTAGCCCAAGGTTTGCTCTCACATGTCATCACATGTCCTGACCGTGCTTTTGCAAAGTGGAGCAAATGATCTCAGGCCCCATGGCAAATTCTTGGTGGTGACTCCCACCACACAGCGATATTTGGTGGGGAGAGAGCTGATGCTCCTCATGGGGATGCCGATACACCGTTTAGTCTTGGATTGCTGCTCTGAAAATGTAGCTTTGCGCAATAACACTATATAACTCAAACCTACCAGTTGTTTTCCAAAATTTACCGTGTTTCACCATGATGGCCATCCCTGAGGTTCTCCATGAACTTGGTGGAAACGCGATGCACGTGCGGACTGTTGCTGTCGCCATATGCACTGCTTTGATGCTCACTTCTTCTGAAAAAATGAAGGAGGCTTTGAGCGCAGAGCCCTAATGATTACTGTTTACTGTGTCTCTCTTCGAGGCATGAAATTCAAGGCCTGAATGGACGTTGCCCGTGAAGCCTGAAATTCGATCGGATCGGAAAACTAAACGCTTTGCACAATACTGCATCTAGATTCGAAACTCTAGACATTTCTCAAACAGTCTTTTGTATTTTGCAGGGGGCTCCATGTAGGGGTTTCACATGGGGCGGCATGCCGGTCCTTGGCCGGTGGGATGATGACGCTGATGAACTCATCACCGGTCCTGCAGTGAATGCACAGCGGTGGCGCTATGACTCCTCTTCTAGCGGGCCACTTGCCAAGACTTAGACTTTAACTTGGCTACTAATAGCTAGTCCCATGGGTTCCTTGGGCAAAATCCACGGTCTCAGGTCCGGAAGTTCCAGCTCAGATGACCCAAACTCGATGGCCAGTGATTTTGAGTCTGATTCCGACGCCGTGTCACACTCTGGGGAGTCTGGCTGCAGTGATGAGTCGGAAGCACCAAACATGAACATAGACTTGAACCTTGCAAGGCTACAATCGCTACATGCAGGGAAAACAAAAAAGAAGAACCCAAAGCATGACAAGTATGCTCGGAGGGCCCTTTGTCCTGATAGAGTTCGCCGGGTGCTGCAGGATCCTGGCTGCGACTGTGCCTGCCGAATCTCAGGACAGGTGCTGGTGCCCCTTTTGAGGGCATTTTGGCACTTGCCAAAGGACACTCAGGATGCTCTTCTTTGGGCACTTCAGGCAGAAACACAATCAGCATCCAAGCGGGTTTGGTCACTTGCAGGCCAGGTTATTCGTTTGTTTGGAAACACCGTGCGCTTGGTGCATCTCAGAACATTGAACCGCTGGGTTGACAATACGTGTCTGTCTCAGGAGTACAGGTGTGCAGGCAATCGTGGCTGCGGTTGCTCGGGATAGGAAAGGGCCGGCTCTCAAGATGTGGGAGAGTCTTCAATGGGAAAGACCAGAGAACCCTCAAGCTTCCAAGTGGTGCCTCATCTGTACTCTGACCCTCTCCTACTTAGTCGTTTTTTGTCCACTCACCCTCTGTACCGCACCTGCTTGTTTGCGCCTTCCCAGGTCCATGCGCTCGTCCTGCTGAAAAGACAGCCTCGGTGGATGGGTATTTCGTTCATCTATACTACACGGCTGCCGAGACTATGACGTCAGCGCGGCTAGGCTAAACAACCTTTGGGCCCAACCAATCCCAAACACCCCCAACAGAATCAAATTTGCTGTTGCTCATCCCCAAGGGACGCTCCAAAAGACCTCTTGAGCATGAGCGATGCGGCTCTGCGACAAGACCTCCTAGACAAACTGGTGGATTCTCACCTCACCGGGCCTTGTTTGCAACTGAGAAATGTTGAACCAAGTGAGCTTCCAACCAAAGAGCTCCCGCACGGGAACTTTTCTACACTATTTCTGCTCTACCGAGCATTCGCGCAAACATCTGGAGAGATGGCAGCCAGCCGGGCTACCTTTTACAAGGCTTGCAAGCGATGGCGGCCATGCTTAAGGTTTCATAAACAATCCAACCACAGCAAATGCCTGACCTGCGTACGGCTACAGAGCAGGATTGAATCTTGTTCAGTGCCTTGTCACAAAGTTGTTCTGGGTGATATGTTTTCCATGACCTTCCCTGGACACTGGACACAGCAGTGGATTTAGGATTTCCTGACACACGCGAAGCTCTCTGACGAGCTCCTGGGGCATTTCGTACGTCAATACCGTGACCGCCATATCTACTATTTGGCCCGGGCAAGGGCCCGGACCCAGAAAGATCTCCTAACCCTCATTATTGACTCCTACGACAAAGCTAAGTGCTCTTTGCCGAAGTGGTGCAAATCCCGGGCTCCAAAGAAGAGTATATATGAAGCCACAAAGCGCATCTTAACCGACATGTGATTCAACTGTGTGCTTTTGCTGGTTTGCGCGAATCATTCCTGTCAAACAACTGTTGTGTAAGGCACAGCCATCACACTCACCTGTGCCATCTGTCACGGGTGGGGTATTTACTTTTACCTGTCGGATGAGGGGCTACCAGGAGGAAGCAACTGGACGCTAGAGGTGGTGCCTTGTTCAAAGAATTTGTGTTGGAAGGCAACTTGATGGGTGCATGGAATGATTTGAAAAATGTTGAAAAGCAACGCCACCCAAGGCGATGAGATCCATCAACCACGCGTTCAAGAGATCCCGAAGGGAGAACAAAACATTTCCTTACGAGTGGGCGACTGAGTGTTCCGCCTGTTTCCATGAACTTTAAGTTTCTCCTCCCCAGGCTATGGCTTCAGGGGGACAACTGTCCCCGAGAGGTGCGCAACAGCCTGACAGCAAAATTTTGCATCAGTATGGTTCAGGGCGGTTTTTTTTCCGCCGCCACAATGGCGCACCTGGAAGTGGGCCACACCCACGAGGATGTAGGCAGGGTTCAAAGATTTGTGACTTTTAGATCTATGGGCCTTTGCACTGCGTTTATGTTTCTGACAGATGCATGCCTCAGTGTGGTCAGAAGCGCGCTCAGCACATGTCCCAATTTGCACACGATCCGGGACATCCAAAGGACTGGTTCAGATGTTTCAGCCACGTCATACCCCCATCATGGCTCATCTTGCAGGAGTCTACAGCAGAAGCTACCAGCAACGTTTGAGAAGCAGGGATTGGAATGCATTGTGGAAGTGATAGAGACGGTTGCCTGTTTGCATGCTTAGGGTGACACAGTGTTTTCACATTGCACATATGTCACATGTCTGAAAGACGACTTAAATCTAGGTTCGGGACTTCAATGCCATCATGCCGTATTCCTTCTCTTTGAAGAACGCCTTCAAAGATAGAAAGCCAAAACCTGGAGAAGAACCAAAGAAAGTGCCACAAATGTTTACATTTCTGGCACGTGAAGGACTGGCAACCATATGTGGTCTCCAGCTGTGCGGGCTCAGCGCGCCAGGAATCCCTGGAGATGTTCAAGCAGACGAGCGGCTACCACGGAGGCTACGGCAGGAGCAGAATGGGAAGGACGTGTTTGCGCTAGTGAAGCAACACATGTCAGATTCATGTTTGCAGCAGGATCCTTTGCTTGTTTTTCCGCAAGCATCGATCGGGGAAACTGAAGCCTTCCTAAATCGGATCAACTCAACGTTACATGTCGTTCAGCAATCTTTAGAACCTGAACGGCGCGCAGAGCTGCTCGCCTTGGCGGAATCCATTTCTCTGGACTTCCCGACAATGGGTCGGGCGGTCCAGTACTACAAGACTCTATGCGATGCTGGACGGGTCAGAGAGGGGTATCCCTGTTTGGAATTTGTGGAAGCTGGGCCAAAGGCCTCATTCAACTATGGACAGGTTCAACTTGGCCAAAGGCCACCCCCTCCCCGACCGCATGAACTACAGGTGGTGTTCCATCGTTGAGAGCGCTGAGGGACGTTGGTAAGAAGTCTGCGTGTGTGACATTGAAGGACAAACAAAGGCTGAACATGTGTGCAATGGGTGGCCCACACCTCCCACATCACCTTGCCGTGCCTTTTTCTGTCCACAGAGAAGCGGACATGTCATGTGTGGTTTTCTTCAACAAGTTTGTGTCATTCTTACACACTTAGACGACCTGTAGTCTCACATAGACCATGGAGCCTGAATTTCCGGAGCCCATTTTGGAGATCCTGACTTTCTTTGAATCAGTAAGGAACTCAGTTGATTTTCGATCAGAGCCTCAAGTGTTTTTTTCTAAGCGAGGTCATTGCAGAAGATAACCTCGGAGATTGGCTTACCAAACGCTTCCCTGATCCAACTAAGCTCCATGAGGCCTGCCCTGAGACTTTGTTGGTGAACCATGCTCATCATTGAGAAACGCGCAGGTCATCAACCAGTTGGTCATCAGGCGCTTTGACACAGGTGCTTCTTTGAAGTCACCTTTGACACTGGTGCCGCAATCCTCCATTCCAGAGTTCTGGTTGGATTTGACGATGTTTGACTTGAGCAAGGATGCAAAGAATGGATGTGGGGTGTTGTGAAAAGAGTTGCCCTGTGTTTTGAAGAATGTAAAGTTTGGCAGAAAGCATGTTCTGACCACCTCTTTCAAACCCTGCAGTCTTCCCTGCTACGTGTCAAGTTGAGATACACATACGGGAGTTCCTACGATGCGGGTACAAGAGCTATTCGGAGGCTATAGAATGCAAATTCCCGCATTGTGATGAATCGCGTCACGTGAAGCCGGGCACGGTTGGATTCGTTGATGGTTTCTGCAAATGCCTCATAATGGGAGGAATTTGTGGAATCATTGATGCTCTCGAGCCATGTCTGTGAAACACACATTTCCTTTTTTGGGCAGGGCTTAAAGTTCTCAAGACCTTGATCACCCAACCCCTGTCCAAATGTTCTGTTATCTCACCTCCTAAGGAAATGCCAGAAGAGAAACTCAATCACGAGTCCATGAAGATGCTACTGCAATCCTTTCGGTGGATTCGGTGTGCGTACACCCACTATGAAAACCCTGGACATTTCTTTCTGGCATCTCTCCGTGCCTTGATGACAACCAAAAGCAAACGTGCCAAGAAACCACCCCCCGGTTCATGCTCATATATTCGCCCAGGGACGTCGAACTTGACGGCGGAGAAGCAGCTTCCAAGCCCGCTGCAGTTCCTGGCGGATTTCCGTCAGGCGATATCTCTGGAGAGGCGGCAATCCAAAGGGGCCACCAGACCCCTGAAGGACATACTTGCAAAAGTTTCTGCAGACTATAACCGGATGTGTACGGTAAAACGGCATCGAGTGTGTTCTTCAAAGAAGAGCTTGATATACAACATGCCCCTGAGCTTCAAAGGTGTTGGTACAGGGAAATCTAAGCCGAGCCAGTTGGGGTCTTGTTCATGGAGCGTGTTTCCAAATTAAGGCTGAGAGCGCCGGATGCACTTTGCCAATTGATCCATAAACACTACGATCTGCACAGACACGAATGCTCAGGTGGGGGTTGCTAAACAAGCTGTATGCATCTGTTCAATATACCCACAAGCCTGTAGGAATTCCTCTGGAGATCCTTGCTGACGACTTTTGGGTCCCATCCTCTTCTTCACGCTATGAAAGCGCCAAGTACAACGGCCAGCAGCAGTTCCAAGAAATCCTCACGACCAGTGAAGAGACTGCGGTGCTTTGGGCACAAAGAGCCGTTGAGGACTCAAATGTGTCCGTTGAGGATTCAAAAGAGTAGTTGGGACACCTTTCCCACCTTGCCAGGACTTCAACAAGCGTGTTTCTAAGGATGCGACCACGAAAGCCAAGGACCAGAGTAGAGTTGTTTCACAGCACAAAGTATACTTTCAGGTACTTTTGGTCAAAGTTCTTGAACCCTGTTAGAAAGCTGCTCAACGGGACCTTGAAGATCAGAAAACGCTTTTCGATGTGTGCTGCTTATGGTGCTGGCTCTTGCCAAAGCTCCACAATGAATTCCCCAGCGCCACTGTCGAGAAACATGTAGAACTCTTTCACAAAGGGTGCCTAGGCTTTAATGGGTTTGGCTGGTCGCCGACACATGTAGCTCAAGTGTGATTGGTTGGCTGGCAGCCGAATCCAACCCTCAAATTGTGATTGGGTTTCCAGAAAACCCGTCAAACTCCCTCGGCCACTGGCCAAAAAAACCCAATCATCTTGGCGAGAAGGAAAACTAACCCTATTTGTGATGGGGTTTCTGGAAACCCCGTCGCAAATCCAATAAGTCAAGACAAACCCAATCAAAGTTGGTGGATACTTTTTAATGTTCCAGGTTTGATTGGATATTTTTTCAAAAGGTAGATTGTGATTGGGTTTCCAGAAACCCCGTCACAATTTGGTGGTAAAATGTATCCCCCAAATGTGATTGGTTTTTTGATGAATTTGAGGGAGTGATAAATTTTAATGGGTATTGTTTTGTCTTTGGCATTTGTCGGGGGAGGTGTTTTTCTTTCCTGTTTTTTCCTGCGGGCGGCATCTAAGTTCACTGGACGCAGATCTTTCGAGCGCGATGAAGGCTGCCCAAGAGTTTGATTGGCGGCGGCTGAACTTTGTGATTGAGGTCAGGTGTTGGGTGTTGCCTAAACTACCCATCATCCGGTTGTGCGTTGGTGGTTTCATAGTCTACGAGTAATTTATTGGTGACACCCTGGATGAAACCCTGCAGATTCGTGGGGAGACCGTTGATGCCTTCATCTCCTCTGCTCAGAGCAGAACCAAGAACGCCTTGCACAAATCCTTTGAAGCTGCCTTCAATGCTTAGGAAGAGCAGCTGCGAGGAGACCAAATCAAGTATGCTCAAAACCAGCTTCTGTCACTTGGATTAGAATAACCATGGACTGGTTGGACCTTGCACTTTTCTGCCCTTTCCTGGCCCCTCTCCGGCATCGGTTTCCGTCCTGTTTTCTCTGCACATGGAGCCTTTGTTGGCCTGTGCAGCCAAGGACGGAGAAGACAACCGCGAAGACACGGAGTCGGATTGTGCGCCAGTGGGAGGTTTGGGATCAACCCTCTTTTTGGTATGTTTAATATGACGAAAAGTGGAATGAATCTTGGAGTAAACCCAAGCACATCATTTTTGTTCTGGATTGGAGTCACCTTCATGAAACACGCAGGGTTGGCGTGGCGTGATAGGAAGACTTGGAAAACTGATATAGCGCATGTACCCTGTCTAGGAGCAGCACAACCGTGCTTGGAAGTTGGTTCATGAGCACATGGCATCCAACCTCAGGGTTTTCAGTGGCCGAAGTGTTGATGGCGTCTCTACGGTGATGCCAGAAGTGAGCTCATGGCTTTCGGAGAGCTTGCAGGAGATCAGTGACGTGAGGGACCACTCGGATCACCTCATGGTATTCTGGTGCAATATGATTACCGCTGGCATAGTGTCTGCAACCAAATCAGACTTTGTGGTGAGCTTTTTGGCCAACAAGCTCACCGAGTTCAAGCGGAATGGGGTTGGCGTGGTCATCCACAGCAACCGTGCGGCACAACTGTCTTTTGACAAGTCACTTGCACTCAGCTCTAAAGTGCTTTCTTATTACTGACTGGTTTTTGTTCATTCCGACATTCCATTCATGTCATTGTTGCGCATAGTACATAGATTGGGCCAAATGTGTGACAATGTGTGGGTTTTGGGACACTTGCCAAGGGGTGACGTGAAAAAGGAGACGGCAAAGGTTGAGGACACCAAGAAGGAGGAGGACAACTCCGACGAAGAGATGGAGACTGAAGAGGAGGAAGATCCTGCCGACACTGCTACGCGGGAGGAAGCGGAAATTCGAGACGTCAGGTACCGACTGGAGAGCCTCAGACTATATCAGAATCAGTTTTGGTTTCAACGCTGATATTTTTCTAGCCTAGCTTGAAAAGAGTTCGTCCCTATGTGCCCGTGTAGTTTGCCCCAAGGAAGAAGTTGTCGGAGAAGGGCAAATCACTGCTTGTTCGCCAGATGACATGGGTCTTCAACCCTGCCTCCTGGCTGACTCTTCAAAAAACATGTTCATACATTTCCCTTTGTTCTAAAGTCATGTATGATGTTCATTGCAAATTGCTGCTGTAAATAGACCGCTCAAAGCTCCGTGCAACACCCACACACGACAAGCAAACAAAACATAAAAGTTGGTTGCAATGTTTCTGCCCGAGTGGAATGGGGACTTGGTTTCATGGGCAAAACGTGACTGGTCGAAGGAATCCTGCTATGGCAAAAGGGATGGAATCCTGCACGGACTCTTGGTCATTGCCCATGACAAGCAGAACATCGTGCGCCAAACAAGAGCATTCAAGCGTGGAGTTGTGCACTCGGTGAACATGTGCCCTCGCGCTGATTTCTACAAGCCTGAGGCGGCCAAGCCTGGTTTTGGTAGGGTCACACACCAGGAATCAGCATTGTCGCACATAATGTCTTTCCCCACAATCCAAGAAAGGTAGTTCAGATTGTACTCAGTGAGGTTGTTTGAGGTGATCGGGTCAAGCACTACCTTCGTTTAAATATGTTTAAATAGATGTTTCTGATGAAGAAAACAATCCGGGATGAGTACAAACAGATGATCTTGAAAAAACTAGGCCACTGGAAGCTTGCCTCATCTTGGCCGAGCTTTCACCGATTGCCAAGAAGCTCGGCAGGCGACTTGGTGACAACCCAAAGACCCTTAATACCTGCCCTTACTTACCCTCCAAGCCTTTCATGACATAGCCCAAAATGCCACTTGCCAGGAAGCAGCGGGATCACACCTGATCACGCAAACACTGAGCGAGCTCCGCCCATCGACAGTGGCAACCACATGCCTGGTTGATGTCTTGGGGTACGATGCCTGGCCTGCTTTTGCTTGTTTGGAGGACCGTTGCACCGTTGCCCTCAACATGAAACAAATCCTGATGCCCAAATTAGATAGAAGTCGAAACATTCTGAAACCCAAGAGCATTTTATAGTTTAAACATGAAATATGAACTTATATGAACTTATATTATGTCCTTGTTTCTTTGAACTGTCATCCTATTGCCAATGAACAGGAATCAGCTGCAGCGCGTCGCACCCTTTGCGCGACCCTCATGATTGATGCTGCAGCAGACGATATGACCAGGCGTATTGGCAACAAGGTGTATGACATGTGCAGATCCTCCACTTTGGATCTGCAGGGGTTTCCGAACTTCCAGCCGCTCATAGATGCATTGAGGGAGGGTGTGAACGAGGAACCGCCCAAGGATTTCCAAGTCTGCCGCCAACTTGGCAGCGCTCTCTATGTGCTAGAGGTGTACGCGCGCAAGTTCATGGACCATGAGGGGACCCGGGACCGTGCTACCGCTCTGCTTGCAGAGCACAACGCGCAGTTCAACAAAGAAGCGCCTGAGTTCCTCCAGCCTGATGAGGCCCAGTCCCTTGTCCCAAATGGCAATCTCAACCCTTTTAATTCTGGCTGTTTTTTTGACTCTATGTTAAAGCTGGTCGTGCCCAGCAGCAAGCCTGGAAATGCAAGCCAAGGAAGGCTGCCACTGCTCCAGCGGAACGGCCTCTCAAGCGGATCAAGATTGAATCTGGTGACACCGTCGCGGAATCGGAGGTGTCCGCTTTGAAAAACCCGCCACTGGCATCAACCAAATGAAACATTTTGATTGAGGTGTGAGTTTACCCCCCGATGGGTCTGGCCTTGTATTCAACCTTTTGACTCACTGAAACATTGAGGTGGAAGATCAACATCAACAACTGTTCCCAGCTGATCACCGATGGGGAGTCCATCTTCCTAAGCTCGAAGGGCCAGAATGAGTTCCTTCCAAACAAGGAAATGTTACTTCCCTGCACTTGGACCATCTTGGACCTATGTGCTGGGACTAGCTGTGGGAAACCTGTGAGAAGAACGCCTAAGATCGCCTAAGTAACTAAGGTTCTCTTTTGGCTCAGGAGAATGGAGGGCTGGCAGTGACGCTAGGCAGGATCAGGATGTATTTTCTTACCATCGCATTGATCTTTTGTTTGAACTCACAGAATCAGGACCCTCTAAAGTTTTCTTGAGCACCGCCCATAACCTCCAACATCCAGCGTCAACAGTTCACACTATCCTGCGCACTCGGAAATGTTTGGGTTGTACCCAAGAACTATTCAGCTACGTCCAGGTCCACCACTTAAGACAAAGCAACTTGTGAAGGGAGCCTGTGAACCTAGCCTTTAGCGGCGTCCCCCAAAACTCCTTTCCAAGCAAGATGCAAAAGGTTTAGGACGCCAATCTTTGGGAAGGATTACAGTAGAATTCATTGTGTGCAGGTACCCAAAGATTTTTGAATGTTGCCGACCACCGCTCGCACAAACTCAGGAAGCAAAAGAAGTGATGGCCGATTCTGGTGGCAAATGGTTCTTGTTTGCCCCCGTTATGGACACGACCTTGTTTGTGCTGGAGGCAAAAGGCCTTCCAGACCACTTGGCCAAAAGCTCGGTTGTGGACACGCCCTCCACCTTGGAGCAAGTGCTTCTAAACTTGGAAGATGGTGGTGAGGTGAGGGAATGTGAGGGATCATCCATTTGGATGGAAAGATGTTTTGATGGTTCGTAACCCCAATCTAGTGTGTGCACATACAATTTGTTTTGCCGGGTGTTGTGAGTTGGGGAGTTGGGCATCTCAGACTAGACCTTGCCAGGTGAACGTCAAAGTCAGCCATCACGTTATCAGCGCTGATGGGGACAAGCGAACTGTGAACCCTGAATCGTCATTGGTGTTCGTTCTGGACATCAAGGATGACGAACCCAAGAAGAAACCAAAAGGAAAAAAGGGAAAGAAAAACAAACAGGAATCTGATGTCAGTTTTCGTAACTTTGGTGCAAAGCTTTCCCTGGATCGGATGAAGCAAGGGTCCAAGCTGGTTCTTGGTTGGAGGTGCAGGCGGGGTTCAGCAATGAATTCAGGCTACCCTCCTTGTGTAGGAAACAAACATCGCTATGATGGGTCGTTTATAGATTCTGAAACATATTCTTTGCAGGCTTGAGTGCACATCCGATGGTGCCAAACGTTTGGTCCCGATCCGGCCGATTGCACTTCTGAGTGGCATGCTGAGTCTGAATGACAACATTGTCCGCCTTTTGTAATCCTGCCGAGGGTCAGCTGAGTGAGAGTGTGCAAGCTAGCCCAGCTGAAAACCGTTTTGAACCAAAGCTCTTCAGATCAAATCCACACTGTTTTCCGAAGTTGGCCCCAGAGCTTGCCTGCCCTTGGATGATTCAAAGCCTTTACAGCTCAGCGGCCAACAAAAAAACAGTATTGGTGCCCCTGCTACCTACACCTTTTGAAGGATGTCGGATGTTCGTTTAACTTGATATCTTACTCTTACCTCCCTTCTGATTCTAACTATGCAGTTTGATGGCAGTTTGGTCGTTTGGCTTGCTGAGATGTCTAGGCTAGGGGAATCAAATTTGTGGGCAGAACCAAACCTATCTCATTTCTGCCAGCCGTAGGAAACCATACAATGCCAGCAGTTGCAAGATGCTCGGAAAAATGCAACAGTACATGGGTCTTCTTCTAAAGTTCCGAAATGTTTCCATCATTTTCCATCATTAGCCAAACGTTGAATCAAAGGGCCCAAGCAAGTTCCTGTCCGCTGAGCCTAGAGGGATAAATGTCCCCAAAACCTAGGGCTGTTAGGAGGGAGGATCATGGTGGAAGCGATTCGGACTGCCAAGTGGTAAGTCCAACAAGTGCTTTCAGAGCGCCCGCAACTCGACGCACCATACGATTTACCCTTGAGTTGTGGAACTGAGCGTTCCTTAAGAATGCCTTTAGCCTAACCAAGCTCAGGCCTTCAATCTTGCCGAAATGCTCAGGGCGGCCAACCCGCCTCCAACTCGTTCGGAGCAGCCCTCCACGGCGCAGCCTGCCCGGACAGCAACACCCATTGAGAAGCATGTGGCAAAAACAGGCCCGCTAGGGATAAAGGGTTTGGGGTTGGTGCTCCAGTCCCAAAGAAACAATTGATGATTTTGATGGTTTGAGGTTCTTCTTCCGGTGCTCCTCTGGATGCGTTGCCGCCAAGAGTTATGTCTTCAGAGTCGTCTCCGGACAATGATGGAAGCAAAACAAAGGGTAAGAAAAACAAAACAAAGGGTAAGACTGAAAGGTCAAAAAACAAGAAGAAGGGAACACAGGCTGAGGAGGAGGAGGACGAGGATGCGGAGGAGGATGACCACGAACCCATCGAGGATGGAGACACCGAGGATGACCAAGATTTAGATGGTTTGGATGAACTTCTTAACATGGGGAAAAAAAAGGATGGCAAGTCCGCCAAAACGCCAAAACGAAAGCCTGCAGCTTCAAAGGGTGCAGCCAAACGCCCAGCAAAGCATCATAAGGCCAGGTGCTTTTAAACATAGAAGGCTTCATGTTGCTTTGTAGCTATCTTAAACCATCTTAAATCAATGTACTGATTTTGGACCCTTGCAGGGGACACCGTCGACGCTCCCTTTCTCACACATGATTGAAGCACCATTGGACGAGAAACCTGTTGAACAGCGGGTTTCTCAGCAATTTCAAGCTAAACAAAATGATTATGTTTCTCAACATTGCTCATCCCTGTCATCCCGTCCAAGCCTTCCCGCAACATCGAGGCCACAGGACATCCTGGAGAAGGGGCAGCTACACAACCAAACAGACCCAATGTGTCTTGCCGTTTTGCTTCACAGTGTTGGCCCTACTTTTACTTGTCAATTTGTTGGCCTTACAGTGAAACAAAGCTTCAAACCTAACCAAGCCGAACGAACAAGGTTGTTTGGGCCTTCTATTTGACACATGGTTCTTATCTCCCTTAAATGTTAAATTTACTTCAAGCATCTTCAAACGAAGGCTCTTTGATGGCGCTTCCCCAGCAAAGACCGACTTGGATGTGGAGGATGTGGAGTTTGTTCCAAGCCTTGACAGCGTGGACCGATTGTACTTCGACCGTTATATGATCGAATACCCAGACAATCAACTCGGACTTCCATCTTCAGAAGAGCCTGTCCCTAATTTGCAAATTAGCTTCGCAAAGCTTCATGATAGGAATGTCAGTTCTACAGTTCTACTTCAAACTTCCTTAGGCTTTCAAGCGTGCTCCGGCGCATGCTGATTTGAGCGCTCTCCTCGACCCAAAAGCCTTGTTCCAGGCCATGATCATGGCGTCAAACCGCTTGGAAGTCTTGGAAGCTAGTGTGCCTAGTTGTCTAGTTATAGTTGTGCATCAAAGGACCATATTCGTTCTTGCACCAACCATGTGCTGGCAGGAGGATGAAGAGGATCTATTTGGAAGTCCCACCGCGCATGAGGCAGTTTTGTTATCTGTTTGCATGCGCTGCGTTTAGAGGGGAATGCAAGCATTGGCTTCCACGGCCACTGTCTTTACTTTCCACTTTGCAATCCCAATGACAGCGCTATTTGAATGTGTATACTTTAATTCCACTTTGTTCTTTCTTTTACCTCCTCAATGTTAAATGTTGATGCTGTGTGATGCTGATGTGTTCGCAGGAGGCTTTGGGTGGCACCGACACTCAAGAAACCCTCGTTTATGGGGCCTGGACTCCAATTGATGACTCCAAGGAGAGCCGGCTTTGTGAGTCTCATTTTCATCCCGTAGATATACCATTTCCACAATATCTCTACCCAGGAGATGAAGATCCCAACTGAGGAGGTCCCAACTGAAGAGATCCCAACTGAGGAGGTCCCACCTGCTGAGGAGATCCCAACTGAGGAGGTCCCACCTGCTGAGGAGATCCCAACTGAGGAGGTCCCACCTGCTGAGGAGATCCCAACTGACGAGGTCCCAGCTGAGGAGATCCCAACTGAAGAGGTCCCAGCTGAGGAGATCCCAACTGAAGAGGTCCCAACTGCTAAGGGGATCCCAACCAGAAAAGGAAGAGGAAAGGGAAAAGCAAAAGCAAAGGCAAAAGCAAAGTCAAAAGCAAAGTCAAAACCGCAAAACCAGAAAAAACAAAAGACCACCTCGGACTCGAAAACAACAACAAAAAGGGCAGAAAAGGATTGGGTTGAGAAGAAGATGCACTCGGTTTCCTGACAGTGATGTCTTCGTCCGTTCTATATTCTTGGTGTTCCTGTGCACTGGTTTCATTTAAAGTCAGCTAACGTCAGCTTAATCAGCTGATGTCAGCTGCTTTCTCGTACTCTTTGTTTCAACTCAGGTTTACTCTGTTGCCTTCAAGAATGGGAAGAACCATAATTTGGTTGGCCAAGCACTGAAATCTTACGCCGCCGCAGCTCGAAGGAAGAGCTTTGATGGCACTAGTAGAAACCTACAATGTGCTTGTCTTGTTTTGAGGATTTTGGATGCAGTAAACATTGAGACTCCAAGGTGGGCAATGTATGAAGGGCCGAAGTCACACCGTGCTGTCAAGCGAGTTTTGGGGTTGTGAGATCCATATGGGATCCAAGGAAAGATCATGAAAGATCTTACAGTGTTCTTGAACGCTGACACTGCACTGGGGTGATGAAAAATGTCCGTGGGAGTGCGGGAGAGCTTGACAGCTGCAGGTGTCGGGCGGAGATTTTGACTTCCACACCAAATACCCAGTTGCAGATTGGACAAGCACCAGTTGCAAGTGGACTTGCTTTACTGTAGAGATGTTGATGATTTAGTTAAAGTTATACAGAGTTATACACATATAACAAAACACAATATAATATCTAATATACTTCTAGTATCTTCTAGTAATACATGCATACTATGCATATCAATATGTACATGCTTGGACGATCTTGGACGATCAATTGCCAATCCAAACCCAATCATCAGCCAAACGTTCCCCCAAACAAATTTCACCCGGCTCCCGGTCGGCAGCACGGTGTGAAGCTTTAGGACCCGACGGGCCGAAGTCTTCATCGGCTCGACGAGCAAGGCTTGACATGAACATGGGATTTGAATGTCTCTAGTCCAAGCAGCATGGCTAATCTGGCAAGCAACATGTGTCCATTGTGGGTCCGGTATAGTCCAAGCACTTTCTGGGTGGGTCCCCGCGCTCAAGATGTCATCGCCGGCATAGAGAAACTGCAACAAGGCTCGAAACCTCGGAGGGCCACAGTTTTCCCTGCCGCCCTCGGTCGCTGTTTTCGGAACCCCAAAGAAAGCATCCGGAGGGGGTTTTCCCGTCAAGGCTTTCAACTTAAGAGTAGGGATGCGGGGATGTGTGTAAATCTGGAACAATGAACATGTTCCTTCCTTTATGCTTCAAAAGGATTCAAGAGGTAGCATCCGGCTGGAAAGACGACTCGTGAGTTTCTTCCAAATATATATATATATATTAAACTCTATAATATATATATACATATATATATATACTTATTTACTCTTATTTACATACATCACTCCCCGTAGTTAAAGTATCATTAAGTACCTGTACTGTACTCAGTCAAACTTATCCAAATGTGTTTGTCTGCACAGTGCTGCTCGTGGTGGTCCTGCCGGGCTACATAGTCCATGGTGTCAATACTCACTGAATACAAGTTCGTTCACACCAATATCCATTTGTAAGTGGCTGCCTTCAACAAAAAACATTAAGTTAATGTAATTATCATCAAGCAACGTATGAATTACCAATATCTTTTAAATTCACATAATATCTGTGGCATTGTGGCAAATGCAATGTGCCATTGGCCCAATGTCGTAAACCACAGGATGGTTCATGTCCCATTCCCGTTTCGTGACAAGGACATCTGATATGACTGAGCATTTGCACAATTACACGAATTATTTAAGTTACCGAGTCACAGCTCGTCTGTTTTCCCAAGCTGTGCAGAACACCCTCCACTCACGCTCAACAGTCTGGACGATCGAATCTCTCTGTGCCCAATGATGCTGTGAGCATACCAGTTGCGCCATGGATGTGTTGCTGAACCTGTACTGGTTCTGGGGATATGTGCTGGTTTTAATTGGTAGGTTTCCTGCAAACATGGGAAACCAAGGTTTCTTTAACATTCAATTGTTGAAAAACGTATCCATACCGATGATGTTGGATCAATAAGCCCTTCAACGATGAAGGTGATAGGTTATGGATGTGTGCAGGACATGTGACACAACCAGTTTCGTCTGAGAGGCTCTTCCGCAGTCATCGCCCAAGTGGAAGGGATCACCAAGCGACCCGCCTCCGATGCAAAAGCGGTTACGCGAAACACCAGGCGAGTTGCGTGTTGAAAGTGTTTCAGGGAAGGCAAAGAAGCTGGGAATTCAAAGCTTGCCCAGCCAATCGAGAATTCACTCAACAGTTCACAAGAACTTTTGTTATTCGTTGGTGATCATAGGACTAATTAGACACCAGCGCATGAGAAGCAAATGTTTGCATTCAGTTTTCATCTTCTGAGTTTGCTGCTTTCCCTTGAGGGGAGCTTCTGCTGGTTACTTTCTCATTGGACACGCCGCAGAAATAGAACACTTTCACCGACCAATCCTGCCATTCGGAGCCCAGAGTGGAACAAATCCTGCGCAAAGCCAACCAGAGTTGGACCTCTATGCCACGAGATCAATCAAACCGGGTGAAGGGTGAACACCTGCCACTGGACAAAAAGAAACAACTTGAGAATCCAAAACTTACCATCCAGTGCAGGAGAGAAGGTCCAAGGGACTTCCCAAGGGCTCCCTTGGAGTCGCCCCTGGTACACGCATATCTCTGGAGACGGAGCCCTAGATGAAACACCGCGACGGAGCTCTTGGAGCGTTTTGCAAACGTTACCGTTTGGAACAGATGATTGGATGCAAAAATGCAAATCAAGCAAAACGAAGCCCAACGACTAATATGTAACATATGAGTATGCATGCAGGGAGGGAGGTAGGTAGGTAAGTAGATAGGTAGCCATGTATTGACCAATGGTCCTGAGACTAAATGGTTATTCGACCCATAACTGAACTGTCCAAACACAATGGTATTTAGTTTTGTTTGTTGCTTTTTTTTCACTTCATGCACACCTCTCAAGGCCTCAAATGGTTATCTTCAGTCAGTGCAAGGAATAGGCCCTTATCTGCAATACGAGGGAGGCCAAAGCCCGTGGAGTCCATGTCGAACTCGGTTCCAGTTGAAAAAGCAGTAACATCTGCCCTGAAGCGTTACCACACAGCTCTCTTTGAGTTTACGAACGGGGTGAATATGTGTGGGACCTTGAAACTACCTGCTCTGTGAGGTTTCGGTCAGGCCTGGGATTCCTGCATCCCTGAGGTCAAAATGCAGGTTTCAAAGTACCTTGGACTTCGCAGGATTCAAGGGAGCTGAGTTGAGAAAGGAGTCAAATCATGCGCGAGGTATGTTGATCTTCCTGTTACTGCACCTGTTGAGAGGAACTTTATGATAAGCTCGGGCAGCACGGACCGTACGCTGGAAAGGAGTCTTTGCCCTTTGAGCATTTATGCAGCTAGCATTTGATCAGTCTTCTGTGAACAAGCCAAACATGCCAAACACCACCGCTGCAGACCTGTAGGTTGTGCTAGAATTTGATCATAGGAGCACACCGGGGGGATACCTAAATGACCATGAACTGTTCCTATTCATACTGAGAGCAACCAGCGATGACCAGCAACCCTAACCCGGCCCATGTGCGCTTCTTTTTGTTCGCCCCGCAGGCAAACATTGCATCACCCGAGCAAATGTGGCCAATGCAAGTCTTTGAAGCTACGTTGGTTCATGGTGTTCTGAAAAACCATCGATGCACAGAATGCGTGATGCATTCCTTTCAAGGCTCCATTCCCTTGCGCACTGTCCATCTTGCAAAGAGTCACCCGTGACCAAGAAAAACCGGTAACTACCACACATGCGGTGGATGGTCGAAACTTGCACCTGATCACCTGGGAAGGGTCAGGTGTTCCCCCGTTTTCTAGTCTTTTGTTCACCAGCCAGGCAAACTTTTGAGACAAGGTCAGGAAGCCACCACATCGATATGAAGAGGAGCTGGACCTCCCTCTACTGAAAGGTACATGGAAACAGGATCAACATGTGGTTGCACTAGTTTCGGGCGTCTCCAAGTGTCTGATGATGTCTGATGACTTCAATGGCTTGCGCAAGCAATGACTTGCCGAGTTGGATTCCAGTGCCGCAGCACGTGGTTCTTGCAGCGCACAATGGGGTCATGAACTTAGTGGGTGGGCAGAAAAAGAACAAACTGAATCCATCCAGCTCTACTTTGAAGAAGCCCTTCACGTTGGAGCTCTGTTGACAACCTGCAGGGTAAACACCAAATGGAACACTTTGTCCCATTCCCGAAACATCATTTTCTCACACCCTTTGGACCCTCCTGGTGCGCAATTCAGCTCTTTCTCAGGAGCGCGGAAAGTAGTAGCTCGACACGTTCTTCTCCTGGCGCAGCTCCCGTCTCAGCGCGGGTATATAATCAGCATAATATTCAATTAAGAAGTACTGTTATATATATGCATTATAATGTATCTGCTTATGCTATGTGGACTCAAACTCAAAGGGATTTTGCATGATTTTGCATGTTAGCTAGCCAGCTAGTGATGCTAAACTGGTGCCAGTGACAAAGCGTTTGACTTCATTAGTTTATACAAAACGAGGCCCACAAGAACAGGTGCGGTCCCAAACACCAGTACCATGGACAGTGGGCGATGGGCCATGGTTGGGTATTCCCGAACTCATTGAGGCGGTGCATCAACATCACATCAACTGCTCCAAACCGGAAGTTTAACAGCAACATATCAAGCCAGCAAGAATCACTTGCTGCCCTCCAAACGTGTAGATCCTGTTCCTGTTCCGTTTGACGTGGCATGTCCTTGTTGAAGTAGTAAACCTTCCCATTGCTTTTGGAGGTGTGCTGCGTCCAACCTGGAGGAGTCGTATCACGGTCAAAACGTTGTGTTTCAGCGTCCACCAGCATCCCGAGAAGTTGCTTACATCATCTTACAACCACCACACAGCGGTGACACAGCTTCTTGTTACTAGTAGTAATGCCCTTGTTACTAGTAGCGATGCATTTGTTACTAGTAGCGATGCACTTGTTACTAGTACATGGCAAATGAAAAAGAGGCTTCAATCAAATGGTCGTCTATAGCCCGCCTTCAGAACCGAGCCTGCAAAAACCAAACCAGTGCTCGTGACGATTCCCAGCCAACTTATCTTTCTTGCTCTGAGGGCCTTTGCCTTCATTCATATATTGGATTGTGGACTAGCTCTAAAACACAGCCAAACACATGTCGTGGCCCCGCTAGGCCCGCTAGTCGATCTGTGTGCAAAACTGCCTTTCAAGAGCAAGGCTTGACTTAATCCTCCAAATGCAAGCTACGAGTAGAGTGAGCCAACAAAAGAATACTTGCTTACACTAACCATGCAAACGTTCCTTGGTATGGTTTTTGGGGTGGCGTCAACAACAAAAACGAGAGTCAAGGCGCCGGTGCTACACCCCGTCTGTCTGACACCCGACTTGCTGTGTTGAAAGGGTCTCGTTCAGGTATCCCCAGCTTTCGGCGAACCCTTCACATGGGGAAGTTTCCCCTGGATGTTCATCGAAACCAATCCCCGTCAACGACGAGCAACATCGTATTCGCATTTCCCTGCTACACCATTACCACGTAACGTATTCTTGCTTCCACAACTGTCATTTTCTCATGTTGCGTGCAAAGTTTCCTGCTAGTTGGGAGAGGATGATCCTTATATGACTTTATGCATCATGATAAACCTGTCCCTCATTTTTTGTGACGCACATGTTTGATGCTACTCATGTGATGCAATTGGGATGCAAGCCCTGACCATAAACAGATTTGTAGCCTCATCTTCCATTTGATGTGTACCGGGAGACACATGCTGGGTTCATGAAGACAATTGAATTACAGTACCATGTCCCAGCGCACACTGAACATGGATAGGAACCAAGGAAGTAGATAGTAAAAAACCAATTATTGAGGCACAAAGAAGTCTTCTCAGTAAGGCAGCCAGCTAATATCAATGAGTTCAAGTTCAGACATGTAGAGACCCCACCTGGCGGCAAAGAATTGTTTGATGTTGCTGCCGGTGTCGGCACTGGTGTAGTAGTTGCCACAGGTTCAGGTGCCGGCCGAGGCGGCGCAAGCGGCGCATGTGGGGCAGGTGCTCGTGGTTCGACAAAACTGGCCTTCCGCGTCTCCTGTCAGGACGATGAGGTTCTTGGATTCTTGACGATTCTGAGGGAGTCCTACAGCCTTCTGGTCGCTGGCTTTTCGATGGCGAATGTGCGGCTGTTGGAGGGAGATTTGTGCAAGGCTCGGTCCCAGCTTTTGCGTGAAGGTGATGCAACATCAAGAAAGAACAGCGGAGGGGCGTACAAGAGACGTGCATTACTGTTACGTTGTCAATGTGAAAAAGTTCAAGAAGCACCTCTATAATTACTCTATCCAAAGACACACGTCTAGAAACTACAGTAAGTGGGATGCGTTGTAGAAATTAGGCAAACATACAGGTATGTATCGCATATCTTCCACTTTTTGTTGTACTCTCATATCCGATTCCAGCAATGCCATGCCATGGCTCCATAGAGAGAAACATGACAGGTCCCTGCATAATTGACGAAGGCCTCAGCAAGAAGACTATGGCGAAAAAGGGATATATGACCTGATTTTTTGAGTCACAACGACGAGCACAAGACAGCTGATACAGTTGTGGGGATAAGGTTTCCATGATCATCCCTTTACATAACTGAATTGGGCTTAGCCCCAGCCAACAACATGTCTCTGCAAAAGGCATCGCCTCCAACCTACTATGAACCCCGTGTGGTCAAATTGAACCCTTCTCTGGGGGCGAAAGTTCCTGTCCATCTGCACGTTAGGCCTTGTTGTAGAAGTAGATGCCTCCGTCGCTCCTCGATCGCACTCTCAGCCACCTGAGACGCACGCGCAGTTTCCAAAAGCATGGCTTCGGTCCGGAACCAGTTCCGCCTGAAAGCGGGGTGACCCCGCAAGTCACCCTGTCACCCTGGTATCAACAAATCGTGGCAAACCCTTCGGGGGTGGGCGGTGGTGAGGGTCCGATCTGAGATACACATCTCTGTGCATGTGTTTAGGTTCTTATCTATCTTATCTTCCGCTTCTTTGCTGCACTGGGTGAAGCCAAGTTTTGGCTGTTCCATCAATCCGTCTGTCCGAGTCCAATCCATCAATCTTGGACAGCAAACCGCACAGCAGAAAAGGTGGAACCATCAGCACCACAATCGAAAAACACAAACAAAGGGTGTTCTCTGCACCTCCGTGGATGATCCCGTGTGTTTCTTCGCAGCGAACATAGATGATAAACTGACATGTCACGCATGCATCCCTTTCTTATTAAACCTTGGGCAAACTTTTCCTAGTACCACCTTCAATCACTTGAACTCATTGCTCCCATTTGCTTGTCAGGCCAAGCACTTTTGTTGATGTGCGGCTATACGTTGGAAACATTTAGACCTTCGCACACATTGCACCGACCAATTCCTGTCTACTTTGCCATGTGACGGGGCTGGCAGCCGCGGCAAATGCGCGAACTCGGATGACTGGAGCGCTTCCCACTGCCGCACCGTCTTGTCTTGCCTCGTCCGACTCGACTCGGACTCCCGAACTCTGTCCTTTTTTGTGCGATGGTAAACTTGTCTAAGGGTTTTGTGTTGTAGGAACTACATGGGTGGTCCTGGCGGTGCTTTCAGCTGGATCAAAGGTGTAGTACGCGCAGTGAATAGTAATTGAATGACTAAGCAAAGCAAATGTGCTTGCAATGGCGTTGTGCTAGAGGCATCTGCTGATTTGCATGAAACCAATTTCAGAATGATAGTACCTGAGCAACTCCCAAACTTTGCTAAACAAAGGTCAAGCAAAACAAGCAAGGCTGGACATGTGGAGATACAAAGCCGTCAGCCCAAAAAACACTAAATCATAACTGTTTGCAATGGGTTTTGGACGTGTTTGAACCGTCCCCATGAACCGTGCATCTCATTCCCAGTGCTCCCGGTAAGGCACAATGCCGGCTGTGTCTTAGCATCTTCTTTCGGTGCCTCCGCGCATGAGACCAGCATCCGGAGACGGCCGTGATGAACGTAGGATCCCCCCACTGATTTCCAGCGAACACTCACATGGATTGCGTACGGTCCTCTGTTTCGAGACTACCTGAAGTCTCTGCCATATCATTTCAATTTGTTTTGTTTGAAGTTCCGCAATGCTTTCAGATGGTGGAATCAGTGTGTGTGTGTGTGTGTGGAAATACCTGTAAACCCAAGCCAGCTTAAAGTATGTGAAACAAAAACTTATTGCAAAGGTTGGGTGGGGTGGCGATGTCATCGAACACACAAACAAACAAACACAAAGAACATACACGTGTGGTATTCCCACTTCCTACGCAAACTAACATTGACCCCGCAAAATGACAACTAGTTGATTTGTTTCTTCGAGGCGGGTTCGTCTCTGCCTGGTTTTGATCCCAATTTTGGAACTTCACTGATCAAGTGGCACCTCATCGGCACCAGCCCCAGCTCCAGCCACTTCGAGCACCGAGGCCTGGTGGTATGGACCAGCGGTGCGATGCCGGGTGCGAGGCACAGCGTGTGGATCGTGCCAGCGTGCGCTTGATCGCGCGCGGCACGGTGGCTCGGCGGGGTCCTCTCCAAAGCAAAGCGCACCGTTGATGAAGGTCACCTGCATTCGGGTTCAAACTCTCGCTATTAGGTTGGAGGCCATCGCTAGGGGTGGAGGCCATCGCTATTAGGAGCAAGGACGCTACTAGGGGCTCCTGGCCGTACTACTAGGAGCAAGAAGCTACTACCTGGGTCCCCAAAGAAGTTGGAATTGTTACTTACATGTAAAATAACAACTTATTCATGGATTTGGCTGATCTCTTCGGATTCTGCAGGAATTATCGTATTCTACTGGGATTATCGTCCGTCTATAGGGTTTTGCACTGATGTTTCTATATGCATGAAATTCGGGAAGTCCTCCTAAATTCGGACACTGCCTGTTTTGTGGGCCTCGAACCAAACATCCCTTCCAACCCTGCAAGCTCCCAGTCCTTTTCCCTTCAACCCTTCCCTCGGTTCTTCTCAGCGCATGCTGAGGCACACGTTTAGCTGAACTAGATATCGTTCGATTGAGCGACAAGTCTGGGTACGGGCATCCACGCACCGTGTTAGGTACGCCAGCCGTCCCACACAGTCTTCTTCTATGAAGCACGCGTCAACTAGCACATTCCAAATCCAGTCAGCTTTGCTGCACTGGTGGTGAACCTCCTCCACCAAATGCTGTAGCATGTGCACTTTCGGTGTAAGAGCGAACAGACATTGCCCCGTTGACAAGGACGTGTGCGCGAGGAACATGTACACCCGCAAGAAGTGCTGTCCGTCTTTCACCAACTGCAGAGCACGGCTTCTGGGTATAAAGACACCCTCGCCGTAGAGAGTTCTCATGAACCTGTTCATTGCAGCAGTTCCCGAAACCTTACATCTCAAGCGGATGGAGATAAATTAAAACTGCAATTCCCAAAAAGGTTTCCTCTCAGAAACCCATCCAAAGAACATTTCGAGCATACTACCTCAAAACTCAAAATGATGTGTAAAAAGCTAGGAAGCAATCAAGCGAAGGTTTACGTCAGACTGGCAGGTCTCCCTATGCTTGTCCAAGAAGCTCGACAGCCACTCCATCAATGTACTTGTAACATGTGCCTTGTTCCAGCTGCCGTGAGGCTCTCGCGATTTCAGCGCAAAAGTGCTAGGTTCCAGCTTCTTCAAGTACTTTGTCTTCTTGTTGTTGGCGCACCAATCCAAAAAGTCAACACTCATGGCTTCAACTCGCTTGTCCACGCTGCTTTCACCGGTAAGGTGCTGCACCATGCTCACACAAGATGCCAGGTAGCTTTTTCCAACACCCATGTGAAAAGTGTGCCACACATCAACTCTATGAAAGCGCGAAAGTCCTCCTGGATCTTCGTCATGAAGGAGCTGCGCCCATGGTGGTGCTTCATCCCAAGGGGGAGGAATTGGCGAGGACCGGGCATGGGCAATGAGCTTTGTGGCGACATCCCTTGCGTGGAAGACATGCGCCAAAAAAGTCATAATCAGCGTCTAACATCAGCCCTAAAACAAATATTGAACGCGTGATTGAATTGCCAAAAACAAGGGTCAAATCTTCCCAATCTCCCTCTTTCGTACCACCCATGCAAAGGTGGCATATGCCAGGAGGGTCGCTCAAATTCTTCTTCGCTTGATTCGCCCCTCGCGGCGCTCGCCTATAGGATCGCTCCAATCCAGCCGATGATACCTTTGCGTGCAGGTCGACCAATTTCACGGAAAGGGGTGCGCAAAATGAACCCTTGGTTTTAAACGATAGAACGCTTTTGCAGCATCGTGTTGAAACTTGATAATGTTCAAGTGTCCCTCCTCCCACAAACTTGTAGGTCCGCCACCACTAATGTCCGAAAACATAAAGTTTGAGGCACCCATTGTTGTAAAACCCACACTGGCCATAAACGGTTTCAATATCGATCCCATTAGACCTGAACCAGCCCGTCAAACCACGACCGGACCCACCGAAATCATCCAAGCGGGCAGGATCCCTCCCAGACATGAAAGACACCTATATACTTTATTTGTCCCTACAACAGCCCCCAAATAAAGGGATAAACCAAAATAAAACCGTTAGAATGCTGTGGATGTATGTCTGGCCGCAAGATAGGACCAGTCGCCTTTGTTTCCCAACACTATAGGGTAAACCTTTCCGTGTCCAGGGATTTCGATGCCATAGTCCTCAGCACGCTTCCAATCGTCTACAACAAGCTTGATGATGGTCTGGTACACCGAATGGTCATACTGATACATCTCCTGTGCAGGGGCCGATTAACTCTTTCACGGGAAAATGTTTGCAGATAATCGGAACTTAAACTTCAAAATTAGTTCTCAGCCACCCAGTCCCGTGGACAAAGGAAAGAGAGGAACCTTGTTTGTAGAGCAGTCTTGATGTGGTTGAGGGGGATTCCACATGATTTGACATCCCTTTGCCAATCTTCCCACTGCTCATCTGCCATAGTTTTCCTCGAGCCGTATCCAAATATCCCAGAGAACTGGATGACTAAAACACCGTTCTTTTTGTATGTGGTGCCTTCATCTCCATGCACCTGGATTGGAAGGCAAGACGACGTGCTCAAACGCCCTCCTGAATCCCGAATCCTCCGGAACAGCCCGTGGTTAGGGTATATGCATTTGTACCGATGCCAAAACTCTTCTAGCAAAGGCTTGGCCTCAGCCATGCTGTGACAACCTGCCAGAAGCATGCGAAGGTCACCTGTAGTACCCAGCTTCTTGATCATGTCCGTGGGTCGAATCCATGGAAATTGAGAATGATCTCCGACACAATCGTAGCTCAATCGGACTGAATATGCCATACCCCATGCATGGAACACTTTGGAGACGCCTTCTTCCTCAACACTTTCAACATGTTCGGAAAAGAATGGAGGACCCATATGCGAAACAATAGGGGGGTGGATGGATTCGATTCAAAACCTGCAGTTTTGTTTCCAAGCCACTGCGTGCTTCTCTGACAGGGTGTGCAAGGCTTTCAGCACTGGGCAAGCCTCTGCCTCGCAGCCTTTGAGGATCTGGTCCTGGAAATCTAGGTAGTCTGCTCTGGCGGATCGAACAATTTCAGCGCAAGATTCCTTAGTGCAAGATATGTCAGGTCGATCCTTTAAGTGTCATGTGATGACATCGGTTCCCTGAAATGTTCACGAGTTGGTCACCTCTATCAAGAAACGTTAAATTCAGAAGGGACAACCTTTTCAATTTCCGACATGCGCTTTAAATGCCAAGCTTCGCCCCTGCCGTATCTCCATGCCAGATGCTTAGCCTTCCGCGAGGGACCTGGCATGCATACCAATGTCAGATCTGTTTGATGATGGGGCAGGGCAGCCCCAGGGTGAGTGATGGTGAGTGAAATCCGATTGCAATCACAGTGTGCTCAACATTTTTGTGCATGGCATTCCTTTGCGACATCCCCAGGCATGTGTCCTCACATGCACGGACTTTCTCAAGCCCCATCTAAGCAAAGCAAACCCTCTAAGTAGGTGCTGTGCCCCACTGTAGGTGTTCCCACAGATAGACACCAACCAAATGGAATTGTCAAATCAGGCTGCGCGCTTGGGACGCTTGCGGCTCTTTGGCGCTGCCGGCGGCTCAGGTTCCACAGATTCCCTGGCCTTGGCCTTGGCTTTGGCTTTTCCCTTGGCAGCCGCAGCTTTGGTAGACTTCCGTTTTGGAGTCTTCTCACTTTCTGCGGGTGGCGGGTGTTCGTCAGAGCCTTTGGCATCAGACTTCTTTTCCCGTTTATTACGGGCACGGCCGCCACTCCCCTTGTTCCGCTTCTCCGACTGGCGTTGCTTCGTGAAGGTCTTCTTTATTTGCCTGCATGGGCATGTCGAGCAAAAAATGATCTACTTATATATTCATATTTGTACACACACGGACAACGATATAAAGCAGAATGAACTCGACAAGATTTAAGCCCACCACTTGAAATCGACTTCAAGGGACATGAGCTTCACACACCTCAGGTATAAATATATCTATATCGGTGTTTTTGCGATTGCGGGTTGAAAACACTGCCATAGGTGAATGGGTTTTCATGGCTTCGTAAATTTGATCGAGCAACGGCATTTTCACAGCAGATTTGGATGATTCGATCTTCGCCAGCAGCCTCATTGCATGGGGGCTCGGCTATTCAACCAAGAGCTCCATTGAACAGAAGCAGCGACAAGAATTCCATGCATGCACAGATATGATGGGACTGGTCAAGTTTAGAAGAGCCAAGTAACTTCTTGAACTCTTCACTCTTCTTGTCAGGGTTGTCCATCTTGAAGTCTGTTAAGAGACCGGCAAAGACCGTATAGTGGGAGTCCAAGTCCTTCTGCACCTGTGCCAATCCCTGGCGGAGCCTAAGCAACCAATGTTGAGGGGTCAGCAAATATGAAGGGCAAGAACTGAACCCACTGCAGAGGACAACCACTGAAGAACCCTGAGGGGCGTGCACGTCATATTGACCTTTTGGAGCAGGGAGGTCGGTGTCTTCAAGCCACTTTGTCATCTCCCTGACCGAATTGATCTTGTCGTGGATCGACTGCAAAAACTTCTCGAGGTCCGCGCCAACCTGGCCATCGCCATCGACGGCGTGCAGATTAGATCGAGGCTGGTTGATGCAGTGACAGTTCACAGATGCACTTGGGAAAACCTGGCCTTCTCACCCAAAACATCTGGAGTTTTTGGGTCGTTGGGGTCATTATCCTTCCAAAGATCCATGGCCAACCCGCTGGTGTCCGGTGCATCTTTGGACTCTTGGTCCTGAGCACTTGCAGCTTGAACGTGAAATCAGAACACGTATGAGACTTGAAGAATTTGTTCTATTGGCAATGAGATCATGTTGGGACCCTGACCTGAAGCTCCGTTGTCTCCGTTTGCTTCATCATTTCACTCTTCTTGATCAGCGACTTGCACTCATCCTCGACGAAGTACTCAAGGACGGAGGAGTCGTACTTCCAAGGTCTCAAGTCACAAAACACAAATGATTCAAATGGTCATATTGACTTACATATATAATATATTAAAGTGATCTATTTTTTGCAGATGTGGTTGTTCCAAACAAGCTGAACATAAATATCG